AGACGTTCCCAGGGAAGGGCAACCGGATCATCGATGGTCGTGGGGGCGGGTGGTTCAGGGGGAGAGGGCGCATGAACTGATTGATGGCGGGGGAGGTGAAGGCGGGAACGGTAGTATAGTGGAAGGAGCAATGGATGCGGGGAAAGCGAGGGTCTTTGTGAAGATGGCGAAAAGCGGCGATGTAGTCGGGGTAGATGGTAGAAAGGGTTCGACGCAGGGCGGCACGAAAATCATCATAGTCTTCACAGGAGGGGATAGTTCCGGATATAACACAGTATATTTCTACGTGGTTATATTCCCGCCAGTCTGCGCTAAACAGGAGCACATGAAGGAGGAAGGAATCGACTACAGAGCGGGTGGTGGCATGCGGATAGACGGAGACTAGAAGGCGGGTAGCGTAGAGATGGTAAAAAAGGTTGTGGGGGAAAGGGCACCATCCATCGGGGAACAGAGGTCTACCAAGGAGACGGGTAAGCATGAGGTAGTCACGGGGTCGGCGAGAGAACGACCGGGGACGAAGCCCGAACACCGAGATCTTGACGTAGATGAACGGAAGGCCGGGGTGTGGAGCCGGATGAGGCCGGCGATTCGCTTCTTCTTCTTCTTCGTTGTCGCGATCCCTCCGCGGCGGTTCCATCGTCTTCTTCCTCTGGCGGCTCCGGATCACTCCACGGATCTCCTATCGATGGATCGATAGGCGTTCTCTACTTCACGGGACGCTTTCCCTCCGCGTTTTCCCGGCGCTTTCGCTCCTTCTGCTCTTCCTCCTCTTCGTTCTTATCGCGCTGCTAGCTCGACCCTCTCGCTATCCCTGCTTCTCTCTCTAGGACGTAGTCGGGGTCGTCCCGTCCCTCACTCGATAACTCTTCTTCTTCTTCTTATTTTTCCCTGCTTCCCCTATCTCCTCGTTTTGCGCCACGTTTCTCCGCGCGATCGGGTCCCAGAAGGTAAGATCGGTGACGTGGATTTCCAAATAGAGCGCCTGGGAGGGATAGAGATAGTTGTCCTCGTCCATCTCCGTACACGTGGACCACACTAAATGCGGGTCAAGCGTCGGAGTCAGCACGTGGGTGTCGGGCTGCTCGTTGCACCGCGACAAGATGTCCAGGTGCAGGTCATCCACCAGCTGGGTCAAGAACACCAACAACTCGCTCGTGATCAGGGCGAGACCTCCCTCCTCCACCTTTCCAAATACGATCCCCAGCAGATCGCCTTCCTTTGCCGTCCTCCAGGCCTGGATGATTAGGTACTCCACACTGTCCTCTGGGTGCTCTGGCCCTTCTCTGAATGGCGCCGATTCTGACCAGCGGAACTCTATCTCCAACAAGCAGAAGACGAGTTCAATGTAGTCCTCCCACCACGCATCCCATTTTTCTTCGTTCAATAGAGGCGCGTTGGTCTCCTTAATACGATAGGAGAGAGTAGGGGCCGGCGCGGACTGCCAAAGAGTTGGGATGCTGGAGGGAAGGCCGAAGTAGGAGGGGCGGCATCGACTCATTGGGGCGACGCGAAGGGACGAAGCTTCAGGAGTACGATCGCCGGCGACCTGCGGGATGAGCAGAGATGAAAGTCGTTGTCGTGTGCGGGCAAGACGGTATCTCCCCGATGAGCAAGGAGTGTCGTCCACACCGTGCGCACTTCCTCGGCCCAGGCGCGCAGAGTCAGATAGATGTCGGGATGAATCGCCGAGGGAATCGCCCTGATGTCCCCCTTGAAGACGATGACGACGGTGACGTGGCAGATCCCGAGAGGGGGTAGTCGTCGAAAGGTTGAGATCTCGGCCAGAACGTGCGTAGTGGCCGCCTCCACGAATCGGATCTCCGCCACCACGTGGATTGCCGCCGTGCTGAAGAAGGCTGCGAACCGCAAACCGCAGCAGATTAGCGTAGAGATGGGGTCGTTGCACTTGCTGGATGACACTGATTCGACCCCTCAGAGTAAGTAGCCGCGCAGCAATCACTTGCTCCGTTGCAAAGCTCATGGCGATGGTGGCAGGGACGGGGTCCCTGAGAGAGAACGAGATGAGGAGGGATGGACATGCGATAAGCAGTCGTCGTCTTCTTCCGCAGCGGAGCAGGAGACGGATGAACGCAAAGATAGGGAAGAAGGAAGGGGACGTAGATAGGACACGTGGCGGATGATCGGTCAAGCCGATCGGCTGCCGGAGACCTCAGGCGTAAGCCGCACGGTGTTCACTCCGTTCGGTCCGAGCTCAATCATGTGGAATCGCCCGAAGAATCGTGGCGAACGGAATCACTCCGTTCGGTCCGAGCTCAATCACGCGGAATCGCCCGAAGAATCGTGCCGAACGGAATCACTCCATTCGGTCTGAGCTCAATCACACAAGATACCCTTTTGAGCACATTTCCTCACCTGCACGATGTTCCCTAATTTGTATTGGGGTCGTGGACCTGCATTCCCGTTCCGGGCCTCGTAGCTTCGGACCTGTCGGCCTTGGGCCAATTCGGTCATTTTCTGGCGTTTTCGGGCTAGCTTGGGGAGGGACCGTTCCATTAGCTCTAAGTGCCGCTTAGCCTTGTCCCGAACCGTGGCCCTTGTGGGCCGTCGGTTCAGCGCTGATTCATCGGGGAGGCTTGGTATCGAAACGCAAGCGACGCTATTGGTCCTTAATTGGAGGGGGCTTAGGCCCGTCGATTCGTGGGGCACTCCGCGATGGACCGCCAAGATGTGATCTACGATATCGGGCCAGGGCCTGGGGTCCCGTGCCGCGATATTGCGTCGTAACGCAGTCTTTATCACCCTATTTGCATTTTCTACCAGCCCATTGGACTGCGACATGTGGGGTGCGGTGTTCCGAATAGCGACGCAGTGTATGACCAGATTCCTCAAGACTTCTCCCTTGAATTCTACCCCATTGTCGGTCAGAATTTCCTCCGTGTCCTGGTGCATCCCTAAAAACCGATTGACGTATCGCGCAATTTCAGCCGCCTGTCGCGTACGACAGGGATACGCCTCAATCCATTTCGAAAAATGGTCCACGAACACAAGTAGGATTGAATATTCACAGCTATTGGGTCCAGGAGGCACCACTATATCGGTAGCATCCATGCTAACCCTTTGAAAAGGTCGTTCGACTACTGTCGGTACTATCGATCTGGGCGGCTGAATTGGTGCCTTGTCAGCAGCACATACCTGGCAGTTTGCGACGATGAATTTCACATCGTCACAAATATTGGACCAATACCACTCATTTTTATCGATTGCCGATTCCGTGATCCGTACGGCAAAATAGGCGGCCGTCTCTTCGTGTGCTTTCTTCACCCAGTCATACCTCATGAACAGGTGCGGAACTACTATCCAAATCCCACTACCATCCGTTTTTCGTTTTTTCAATCGTCCCTCCTTCCAGTGGTAACCCTGCGCCCTTTGATTGACCCTCCTCCAATCTTCCTTGGTGAAGTCGGGGAGGGGGTTACCTACTAGAGTAGCAATCAAAGCGATATCCGTCCATACCTCGGCCCTTCTAAACTTCCGGGTCTTTTTCAACCCTTCTGACGTGGCGTACAAAAAGCGAGTCTCAATCGGGATCTTGTCGGCTCGACACAAGGGACATAGCCAAGGCTTCCTGTCGTTCCGATACTGGATGCACGAGCCATGGGCTCATGCGACACAGTGTTGACAATCTACCCACTCCATGTATCCTTCTCCGTTAGGACGCATAAAGACCGAGTAAACGTGAGAAATTGCTTCGCAGAAATAACAAAATTTATCTGGCAGGGAAAAAAGAGATGAGGAGGAGAGGGGAGAAAAATGGGTTACGGGATTACCTCCGTCACCCATTGCCACCAGTCTGCTTCTTGCCACGGGGGAGAACCGCCACTTGTCTGTACTTGGGCCCATTCGCTGCCAGTTCAAGATCTTGTCTATTTTTTTGGGATTTGGACTCCTACCCTTTGAGAAACATCTGAAGCTCAGGATTATCACTTCTGGTTGGAAGAGAAGATACTTTGGTCCACTGGCAGTCAGATTATACTTTTGAAGTCTTTCTAGGACCATTTTTACTCCTTCAGCATGTTCTCAGACAAACTTTCTGACTCCCCTTGCGACCAAAGTTTCATCTCTTACCAGGGGTTCTTTTACAGGATTATCATCAATGTAGGGACTGGTTATTTCAAGAGAAATATTCTGCATGACTTTGATCATATCCCTTTGAACCACTGCCACTCCGTTAGTCCAGCCGTGAGGTACCAGGCACATCTGAACAAGCCCCCTTGGAGTGTACATGGCAGTCATTGGCCGGTTAGTGGGATCAATAGGGAACTGGTCATAGCCAAAATACAGATCAACTAGGGAATAAATACATCGATCAGCAAATGATTCAGCGAGGAGATCAGCATTAAGAAGACTACCTGCATCACATACCGTCACAATTTAAGTTTCTGAAGATTCTGTATCCATCTTAGCCCGCCCCTTGGTTTCCAGAAACAAAACCAGTGGTTAACATATGGTCCATGAGCAAGTTCAGCAACGTTAGACGCAATCTTTTTGTCAAGATACTTTATAACCTCTGCCTCTTCTTTCAAGGCATACTTGGTTGGCCATCTTGATCATGTCCACGTTCAATCGCCCTTTTTCCTCATCATTAAAGGAGAAAGCACCAGAGAATTCCTGACACATCTTGAAGATATATTATTTCTCTTTAGGCAGGATAAACTGATCCGAACTTATCTTCATTGTGTCAAACCTTTCTCTAGTGACCCTATTCTCCAGTTTTGTTGATTCCCTCAATGCTCTTATAATTTGTCTTTCCTTTTCCAATGCTTCATCATAATTTTTCTCTATTAAGACTGCCACTGGGTTTTTCTTCACCCCCTTGGGCTTGTATTTTATTTTTGACCCAGTGACTATTTTCCTAAAAAAAGGTGAGTCGATGCAAATCTCAATTCCATCTTTCCTCCTTTAGCAGTCTCTACAGTTTTCTTGAGTCTCTCAGTCCTTGGTTAAAGTACTGATCTGATCCAGTGACTATTTCTTATGGGAGACAGTAGGTAGAGTTCTTATGATTGCAACCATTTTATCCCATCTGAGAGGATAGTGCTGAGCTTGATTAAGAACTGCTTGCCTTTCAGTGTCAGTAAAATTTATCAAAAATATATGGCATCTTTGAGCTTCGTCCAAATATGGAATTCTTCTTGCTGCTCGGATGAAGGTCTGAAGAAAAACATTGAAAGTGTCATATTTAGCTCTTCTGATATTAAGTAAGTCCTTAGTTGTGGTTGAAACTCAATCTTTCTCAAATTCATTTTTCGGTCTCTCCTTGACTTCTTCCCAAGTAGTAGCACCTTCCATTAGTTCCTCAACAGCCAGTCTCGAATCAGTGTCACAATAAGATAGAAGGTGCTTAAGCCGTTGCTTATCTGTCCAGCCATAACTGAGTCCAAATAATTCATACTCATGCAAGACGTCATTAACCTGAGGTCCTCTGAAGCAGGGAATTCTCTCATCTGGCCTCTTTGCTCTTGCAATGTCTGACCCTCCTTTTATAGCATCAACTTTCTCGACCAGTTCCCGTATAACTCCAACCAAGGCCTCTTCATTGGTCCCTGTTGATGTACTTGGTTTTCCTTGCCCTGCCATCTTGACCATAGATTTTCCCAGATATCCTTTTCTCTTTCTGTCACTCTTATCCTTTTCTTATCTGTTCTTCAATCCCTCACTCTTCTCGTAAGAGATACAGACTCGTTTCTCTCCTCTCTTGTCTGCTCTACCCCCTRAGAGTTYTGTACAKATAKGGTATAAGCAATAATTGATTGGGTAGTGATCAAGGGCAGTGCAATCCTTCTCAGCCTTCCAATGTAATCTTCAATCAATTCTTTCTCATCATCCCTACTTAGTCTTTTGTCATACCCCTTTATAGTACCCCGGATCATAAAATATCGAGTCAGGTCTATAATCTCATAATGAAATTGCATAATTTACAGCCCACTGTTGATCCTTCTTGTAAGAGAGACCCGTTCCTGAAAAGTGTGGTATGATACCCTCTCAGTATAACAGATAGCTTATCTCAGTCTGGTCAACGATAATTCTCAAGGCAGAATCTCTCATGCGATCCAAGAAAGTCTGCAAAAACTCAAACTCATTCAGGGTAGAAAGATTTCTATCAGAGATCCGAAGAGTCCCTTCTATTTTGACTACTCTACCTTCCAACACAACTCCTAGTGTCATCTGTTTAGTCAAACTGGGCATTGTTAATCATCATAAGCAACATCTGAAAGGTAGATCTCAGGTTTGACATAATCAGGGATCTCGAATCTGTGTTCAAAAGTACTCAGGAGTAGGGATTTTATCATCACAGTGAAGTTTTTTTCTCTTGCTCTACCAATCTCTGCAATGGCTTCCAACAGAGGCATCCAATCTCTCCTGCCTTCAAATCCCTCAGCAATTGAGAACTCAGGAAGCCTCTCAAATTGCCTTACTTCTTTCCCCCATGTTACCTTTCTCTTTAACTTTTCAAGTCACTCCTTGGTTCTTATGAGACTAATATAAGCACCTGTCTAACACTTCAAATAGTCGTCTCTCTTTTCTAGGCCTGCTAGTACCCTGCTAGTACAAAAATCTGTACGTCCAGACTGCCAGTACTCAGGAATTTGACCACTGGGATGTGAAATATTATAGGCTCTCTCTCACAAGTCTCATATCTCAGGATCACTAAAGGATTATCACACCCTATCACCTCATAGAGTCTACCCATCACAGTAGTTATCCTGGCTACTGAGAGTATTCTTCTTGGGCTCTCTTCACTTTCCATGCAAACTTTATCATGGCATACTAATTATTTTTAGATAGATTGATATCAGGTAAGGGAGGGACTGGGAATCCATCAAAGACAGTAAATCGAGTCGACCCCATGAAACATTTGTTATCTCTCTCAAACCTCTATTTCTCTCTCAGTACTACCTCTTCAGCAAATCCCCAGCATCTCTCATACACCGCTTCAGCACTTCTTTCTTCTGGAACATAGACTCTCACATCATACACATCCAAA